ATATATATATATATATATATATTATATATAATATACTTATATATATATATATATATATATATATATATATATATATATTTTTTTTTTTTTTTTGTGCTACACCAAGCTTTCGAAAATGTTTATTTTCTTCTTCAGGGGCTACAATATGAAAGCGGCTCTTAGTTATTTAATACTAAGAGCCGCTTTCATATTGTAGCCCCTGAAGAAGAAAATAAACATTTTCGAAAGCTTGTGTGTAGCACAAAAGCCTTTTATTTGAGCCCTCATCAGGACCGATACCCCAATTAACTAAAATTTGTTGTTCAACTAGCCGGTCACGACTACCGTTTTGTGTATATATATATATATATATATATATATATATATATATATATATATATATATATATATATATATATATATATATATATATATATATATATATATATATATATATATATATATATATATATATATATATATATATATATATATATATATATATATATATATATATATATATATATATATATATATATATATATATATATATATACTTTCCGGCAGTTATTGGCAAAGCTCGTTGTTCTTGAAAATAGCTACTCTTTCTCACTGTTGGTAAGAAATGGATTAGTTAAACTGCGCTTTTTAACAATGAGAAAATAATACAGTGATTTTGATGGCCGAAAGTTATTTGCTTATTTGTATATTTTTGAGGGCCCTTATTCCAAAAATGCCTAATTGTGCTCTATCAAATCATTTTTTTATAGCGCTCTATATCTTAAAAATGTTATTTTATTAATATACATACCTATGACAAGAATATGTTTTTCAATATGATTTTTATGAAATTAAATGTGATATGACAAGACTGGATAATATTAGATTGCTCTGCAAAACAAAAGGGTTGGCGCAGAAGGTCGTCGTGCGACTGTGTTCGAGGTTGTCTTCGTTGTTGCGTATTTCCAGTATTCTAGAACGTATAAAAATGGAAAGAAGGCATTGCGATAGACATTGGACTCAAACAGAATGGCCCTCTAGAACAAGCCTTACACCTGGTAGCAAAAATGTATTAAGAGATAGCTTAGTTGACCCCAAAAAAGTTTTACTGCCTCCTCTTTATCTCAAACTTGGCTTGATGAAGCAGTTTGTTAAACCTTAGACAAAAATGGACAGTGTTTCAATTATTTGCGCCGCAGATAAGAACATTATGCAAACACAATAACCAATGTCGAGAAAAACGCCTGGGTTTCATTTAAAGAAGAAATTGATAAGATTTTTGGGAACTCTAAGGACGAAAACTGCGAAAGTATTGTTCAAAATATGTTACAACACTTTCATCATCGAGGTTGCAGTATGAATTTAAAAGGACATTTCGTATTTTCACAATTGAACTACTTTAGTGAAAATCTTGGAGCAGTTAGCAAATAACAGGGAGAGAGGTTTCAGAAGGACATTAAGGAAATGGAACGGCGATACCAACGCAGATGGAGCATAACGATGATGGTGTTAAAAACACACAGCCGGATGTCCAGCCAACGCAGCTTTCTGGCAAAAAGACGAAGATTTCACTCAAAAAAGTCTGAGTAAAGTTTTTTCTCTTACTTTTTTAAACTAGATTCCGCTGAATACTGAATAAAAAATAAAAAAAAATAGACCTATCGTTTTTTTCCTTTAATATTTATAAAAAAAAACTTTACGTGATGCAAATAAATGCATAGAATTCTTAAAATCAGCCCACCAAGATTATATAAAATCAGTTTCCAAAATTAAAACATCTGTCAAAAAGTTTAATTTTGTAGACTAGTGTAATACATTCTCAATGCCTTCAAAGATCTGTGCCACTAAAACTTGACGTTCGGAATGGCAAAAATAATTGAGATATTACTTTTGTTTGCTTGATCTTAGAATAACTACTATCTCAATTCTCGGCACATCTCTATAATTATAATCATATATAATTATTACATCTATTATTTTTTATTTAATATTATTATTTTCATTCACCAAACTGGCATTTCAATTGCTGTTGTTCGACAATCCTTATAAGGTACATGATTACAATGAAGCTGATGATGGGTATTTTCATCAATCTCTTCAGGATTTTTTTTTAACTGATTTTATTATGAAAGGGTTAAAAAAATAAATATTTATAAAAATACGTTTTGTCAAACAAGACAAAACACGAAAACAATTCAAGAGTCCAAAAAAGCTGTACTTTTAGTGGCTTACTCAAAGTAAATAACAAAAATAACCAAAAGTTATGCGTACATGTCCTTGACAACAACATTCATTACGATAGCTCCAGTGACGGCACTGGATTTTATCAAAGAGTATTTCTTCTTCTTCAGGTGTCTATTCGTTTTGAATATTAGCGATCATTCTGGCTATAACGATCTTGTTCACGGCTTCTCTGAATAATTTAGTGGTTGTTTTGGAAAACCATGTTCTTAAATTCTTCAACCATGAAATTCTTCGTCTTCCAGGTCCTCTCTTGCCGTAAACTTTTCCTTGGAGTATTTCTTTGAGAAGGTAGTATTTACTGTCATTATATGGCCTAGGT